GAGAGAGAGAGAGAGAGAGAGAGGGAAGCATGAGCGATTTCGGAAATAAAAGAAACCGGAAACACAAGTGATTTCGGGGGGGGGGGAAAAAAGTAAAGGGAAGTGGGCGCGTGCACGCATGCAGCCGCAAGAGGTAAGACGCAGAGAGAGAGAGAGAAAGAGAGAGAGAGAGAGGCCATCAACTTCTTGGCAAACTTTTCATTTTTATTGCGGGGGTAGCCGCAACAGGTCCCCTAGTCTGCATATAAAAAAATTTAAACTTCGCAGTCGCCTCCTAGCAGATGTTTCGTACACAAACAAAAAAAAAAAAAAACTCAGAAAAAGAGAAGACAAAAATTAAGCTACCAGGGGATCCCGTGCCTCAGTATCCACTTTTCCAGACATCCAGAGAATTGCCCTCCCAGATGACTTATCAACTGTCCAATACACACCCTGGCTGCACAAGCCCCCCCCACTCGAAGAAGCCACCAATGGCTCGAATTTGACAACATCAGAAAAGAACACCACCTGCAGCCTCACTGCTGTGGGAGCTGCTCTCTCTCTCTCTCTCTCTCTCTCTCTCTCTCTCTCTCTCTCTCCCTCTCTCTTCTCTGGATCCAAAGAAGGGACTAGAGTGGAGGCCTTTGGGACAGGACGGCCTGCCTTGAAAACTGACCACTACCAGCGCATCCTATTCCAGAACCTATGCCCATTGACAAGCATCTTACGATTGCCAGCCCCCGTTCCAGGTCCCCATAGGGACATACACTGTAACATGCCACATAGGCCCCCAAAACGAGTTTGCAAATACCAACAGACAACAGGTCAACCCAGGAAACATCAGTGCATACAAAGAGCAGGCGACAGTAGGATCGGATCCACTCATGCAATGCAATATCAGTACCTTTGTCAGACTGTGAGATGGCCAACAGAAGGAACGCAAACACTATAAAAACAGCCATACAATCATTTACAATGTCTTACAATTATCCCGTCCCAGGCTCAGCATGTGCTCCTTACCTTTTCCTTTCCTGCACAAGACCACTCTGGAATCACCAACATTGGCCACAACGAGCCTTTTCCCCACGAGTACAGCAGTGGATGCTGTTGAACCAGCGTCTCTGCTCTGGCCATTGTCTTCCATATTGATGTATGCTTCATCAGTCTGCAAATACACCTCACCTGAAAAGAAGTCGCGCGATAGTCCACAAAAAATACAAAGGAATCGAGAAACCAGAAGAATGAAAGATTTATGAAAAAAGTTACGAACGCTCCCTTCTTACCCCAAACATAACGCCCCAATATATTGTCACAACTAACGCCCCAATGTATACAAAAACAATCCCTATTCCGATCCAAATACAGTCCTGACGATGAGAAATTATGGTGCGGGGAAGAAGGTAGAGCGAACGTCTTCCACAGCATCTGCAACCAGCGAGTACAGCCCGACAGATGCCACACAGCACTTCCAAATCGGGCATCCCAAGCCAAGACCCAATAGCATCCCCAAAAAGCATCAGGCACTATAGGGGCTTTTAACTTGTACCCAAGGAGCCAGACGAATTTCAGCCTAGTCACCTTGTGCGATGTGTCATGCGGGACCACAAAATATGACAGCCATTATAAGAAAGAGCTGACATCAAAAGTATAAACCACACCGAACTCTGACATCTGATCACATAGGCTGTCACGCTGCTCAGCTGCAAAAAAGAGAAGAAATGAGAAGCAAGACAAGGGAGTGCAGTGCATAGAGGTGTGCTGCCAGTGCTGGTGTACCCTGTGCGCCATGCCTCTTTTTCTGTGTGTGTAAGTGTGAGAGAGGAGGAGGGAGGGAGGGAGGGAGGGAGGGAGAGAGATCCATTTGAAATCACACGCGCTGACGATCGAGGGTTTGCAGGCACATGCTGATGTAGAACGCATGCCAAACGCCCTGTGCTCCATGCCTTGTTTTGTGTGCGTGTGTGTAAACGTGAGAGAGAGGGAGGGAGGGGGGAGAGAGATGTGAATGCATGCCAAACACTTCATGTTTGGAGGCACATGCTGATGTTGAATGCATGCCAAACACTTCATGTTTGAATTCAAGGCATACTCATATTTGCCCTTCCGTAAATGCATCTGACTGCAATTACCGCCAGACTTTGACGAATCTGACCGCAATCACGTTCAGGGCTTAGTAAAAAGAGTCCCGAGTGTGAGTATGCCCTCGCACTAGGGAGTTTTCCTACTAAGCTCCGGAAGCGACTACAGTCAGATTCATCCAGGTCTGGCCGTAATTGCAGTCAGATATATTTAGGAAAGGGCTAGTGTGACTACGCCCTCAAATAATCCCATAACCAATTCCTCCTTTTGTTTTTTTTTAAAAGAATCTCTGGAATTTCTCGATTTATGTGAAAGGCTAGCCCAGGTGCCGTGCTCATCTTCTGTGGGTGTACTCACACGAGGACTTCCCTGGATGTATCTGACTACAATTCCAACCCTTTGTGAATGTTTCTGATCAGAATCGCGTCCACAGAGGAGTCAAGAAAGTCCAAGTGTGAATACGCAGTGTATCACTCTACTTTCAACAGATGTCCCAGGGACCTAAACGCAACATATGAATCCATCTATGAATGCATCTAACGGATCTTGCAGGTCTGATAAATCCATAACGAGGTCGCCAGAGCACAACGAAACCTCATCATGGTTGTATCAGATACGAAAGATCCGTTAGATAAACTCAGATGCATTGCGGGATGTGCAAAGACCACAGAGAATTTTTCTTTTTCTGTTTTATTTTCTTTTCAAACGGCCATTCCACGCCGTGTGTTGCCCGAAACAAGGACTCTGACAGCCTCTCACTTCGCGCGACACAAGGCGTCGTCATAACTACACAGTAGCGAAAAGGATATGAACACAGAAAATAGTCCTGGGCAGTTGGCCCAGCCGAAAAAAAAAATCCACGGACCGTTCATTATTTTTGACGGCGTGAGCGTTCAGTTCAGACCCCCCCCAAAAAAAAACTCGTTTTTTTTTTCAGGGACCCCGATTTTTTCCCTTACAGACCAGGTGCGCGTGCCACGTGTGCAATGCGCATTGCGCCACCCATGCACGATTGACACCACGTGATGCGCCGCAAATACGTATTGGATAATAACCAGCATTTCTTATACAGTCAAACTGAGACATTAACATCGCACATAAAAAAGACTACAATTGTTAACCATGCGTTGCACATACCAATCACCTACACCTACCAGCGGAAGGGAGGTCCGGCATAGGTCAGCTGCCACCACATGCTCACATGGGAATATGAAGCATGAGGCAGGCATTGAGGAGCTGGCCGTGGTTTCACGGCACCTCCACACTCGTACACTCCACATGAAAAAGCTATGTTCCAAAACTTCAAGGCTTGTTTCTGTCAATCGTCAGAAGATACGTTATGTTACACCACCAGAACCTCACCCACGCAAACTTGAGAATCGAAATTGCATCAATCCAGGTTCTTTGTAAGAACAGTGCTACAGCACCAAAATGGTTGGTGGCACAAGCCAAAACAGAAAATGAAGTGCACACTGGCACTTCGTTCTTCTTTGGCCCGCAGTGCAAATCCGTGTTGGGAAAAAGACGTTCAGAGGAACTGGCAGTTTAAGAAGAGAGTCGTGTCCTCCTTGTTGCCGCAATGTGCGCCTATTAACAAGTTTCACGTGGCAGAATGAGCATGCAGACCCTTCCACACCTAATTACTTAAAAAGGCCTTACACCACTAGTACCTTTGTCAGTTCGAAAAATGGCGGGCCTCTGACCTTTTAGGAGGCCGAAACGAAACGACAGCCGTCGGTCAGATTGATCAATGTCGGGCTCGGCCTCCTGAAAGTTCGGGAGCTGGCAAGAACGTGGTTTAATGCATTCCCAAAAACACCACAAAAGAACACAGCAGTTTGGTTAACAATGCATTCCCTGGCCCTAATGCATTCCCGAAAACACCACAAAGAACACAGCAGTTTGGTTGACAACGCATTCCCATGGCAGAGTGTCTGCCAGCGGCTTTGAGATGAAAATGGACTCACGGATTGCCGACTTGGTGTCGGTCAGCAGCTTGGGATGGTCCTTCAGATTATTCACGAGGTGTTTCTGCACATAGTCTGCTGCTTTGCGGCCTCCATGCCCTGGTACATTCAAAACCATGCGGACAAAAAGTAGTCAATAATCTTGCACGAGGTTACGGGCAATCCCAACTCGATTTCCGAGGGATGGAAGAAGTCTAGTTTTTCCTCTTCAGAATGTAACGAAAAAGTAGTCCATAATATTACAATTGCCATTTTAATCGCAGAGGCAAGAGTTGATTATTTTCTCACCTGATTGCAGAGTTTGCACCAGCAAAACTTGGTCAAGTGCTTACAGGACTGCTGTGTTTCTCTCTCTCTCTCTCTCTCTCTCTCTCTCTCTCTCTTGGCACTCCTTGCCAAAGATGGTCAGGAGCGGGAGGCCATTCATGGTGGGCCGTTGCCAACTGAACATTCAACATTCAGGAGGTACTCTTTGTTTTCGGGGGTGGCAAGGACGGTGGGTTGTGCTGTGAAAAACGGGGATGCAAAAAACAAAACAACAGAGCTTTGTGAGGCTAAGGCAGTCCACCCACATACTGTTTGGGACACCCACATACTGTTTGGGAAGGTCTGGGGAGACTGCCGGTCTGCGCCTAAGAGAGTGGCACCACCACAAGGGTGGGACTGATTGTACTATTTTGGAAGGCCAACCCATGTGGTCGAATGGCACACCCATCGACTCTTGATTGCAAGACCTAAGTCAAATCCTGAAGGTCATATGACTAAAATACAACAGCTCTGATTTACAAGGGCTCTGTCAGTTGGATGATGATGGCATGATACATTCTCGAGCTTACATATTCTGTTCACCAAATGTGAAAAAGGCAATCTGTGGCCGTCCCAGTGTAGCCGTTATGTTTCATGTACATCGTTTCCTTGTTTTCGGCCGTCCCGTTCCTCTAGTACACAAGGAGGTGGTCCCATAGCGAGATCTCCTCATATTGGAATACAAGAACACAAAAAGGGGGGGGGGGGGAGCACTCGGGCCTGGAAAATGCATAAGGTTCAGTCACAGATCACCTCCAGCGAGCCGACACCAGATTTAAAACGGGCTTTCCCAAAACTATTTGTACAGGTATACAGCCAGATTCAAACTTCCTTTTAAGAGAGTAAAAAAAGGGCGCCTTTTCCACACTCCGTCCGGCACGCAAGTGGCATTCAGGAGGTCTCGGGTGCAATCCCCCATGGGCCTCGTGTATCCGCCACCTCGAGATAGGCCGTTGGTCCCCCCAAGCAGCATCACACCTGCTGGTGGGTGCAGCTCCCACCTCTTCCCTCGTTGAACACAGATGTGGCTGCTATGGGGTTCCCCATAATACGATAATGATAGTAAAAAAAGAGGCCTGAAAAGCCATCCTGTCCAGATTTGGCAGGTAATTGAATTGGTTGGGCTTAAAAAGAATCAGCCTTTTTTCTATTAAAAAAAATAAAAACTCCCAAGCTTCTCACCTCAGCTTCCTAGTTAGCGGCGCTCCATTCAGTCAAGCATTTACTATCCATGTAAATTGGCCAGTCTGCAGAAACCCAGACGGCATGTTGCCCTGGGAGATAACTTTTTCTCTAATACATGTTGCCCTGGGAGATAATTTTTTCTCTAATACAACTGCAACAAAGGTCACTCACAAAATCGCTTGCCTTCAACAACTGGTTTCATCACAATTAGGAAATTTCAAATTAGCAGCACAGCATTCTCCATTTCCTTATCTATTTCGCTGATTTTTGCAGCATGCGAAAGGGAAAAAATTACCCAGAACAAAACAATTGCCACATACCATCAAAGACACCAAAGAAGACCACCCGCTGATTATTCTGCTCAGGTATTACCCATGACTTCGCCTCGTGGCAGTCTTCCATAACTGCCCTCTTGCCTTGAAGCTTCGCATAGCCATAGCAGATGTTCGACTCCTTTCTGATATCAGACAACGGTACATCGCCAGAATTAGCAAAATCAGCAGATGCATATCGCTAATACAACAACAAGCAACTTGAGTAACAGAAAATTAGCAGCTTGTGAATTTATAACACACTAACATGATAACATCCACCTTGGGTAGCAGAAACTCAGCTGTGGACGAATTGATCAAAATGCCATAGACATACAACTAGCACTGTAGGTCACCTCTCTCTCTCTCTCTCTCTCTCTCTCTCTCTCTCTCTCTGTGTGTGTGTGTGTGTCTGTGTGTGTGTGCATATGTGTGTGTGTGTGTGTGTACACGCGTGTAGGTCCAGTGGATTGGCTCCCCCGCACGCACCCTCTGCATCCTGCAGCCAAGTTCTTGCCAAAACACAAGTGGCGGAAAATGTGTTTCCAGTCAGATCCACACCAAAACGGGCATGGGCAAAATGTGCATGTTTCTGGTCAGATTCACGGGCCTCGCTCCACCACTCACCAAATGTGCATGATGAGAATGAATCTTCCACTAGGACACGGAAGTATACACTGCCAGAAGTTTCCATGTGGGAAAGGTACCCTAAACAAGCCTTTTTTATGTTGCCCCTTGTCGCACATGGGTAAGGAACGCTCCCATGTATGTGGTTAGGAATCGATGAAACCAAAAGCCACTAACATTGCAGCCAAGACACTGCATGAGAACAGGGATTTTTGAAAGAGCACACCATCACTCTCCCGACGGATAGAACTTTCTCTATGGGAATTCAAAATGCCCGTGGCCTTCGGCATCTGATATCGACGAACTACGCGACTGCGTAAACACACAAACTCTTGAACTTTCAGCACATCCTGACTAAAGTCGTATAAAACAATAGACCTCAGAATGCCACCAGTTGGACCCTTCCAAATTGATTGGAGTGGGCTCTGAGCACAAAACTTGCGACCGATGTCCAAGGTATTTTGCCCTACACTCTCATTGTTCTACAGTCAGTTTTAGAAGAGTCCAGAGTCCACAATATGTGATATCTTCATCTTTGCTCTGCTTAGTTCTAGTGTGAGTGAAAAGCCAATCAAACTCGCTTATTCGTAGAGCGAATGCAAACTCAAGGGCCACATGGTATGAAACATGAAGCAACCATCCAAATGCAATGTCATACCCAGTCATTTACAACAGACTTCCAGCGTGATCAAAGGAGGAGTTTACTATGGTCACTGTAGTGAACTTGCCGCTAGATTATTGTACCAATCATGCCCTTATGCCTATCCACAGGGGAACCTGCAGCCAGATCGACTCCTTCCCAATTTACGCACCCAGATTTGATTGAATGCCAATCTAATCAGACTAGTCACCAAAGGCGCAAAGCACAAATCCAAGTGTCTGGGTACTATTGTAAGACATGAAAACACCGGGATCCCATTCTGACCTCAAACACGAGGGCTGAAGGCAAGTCTCGAAGGCCGCTTGCACGACAGCCCTTCCACACCAGGGTCACCGATCATTATCCCCAGCTTTCATCTCTGTTCAACTTGTAGGTCCCACAGTCAGGCTGCGGACTTTCGGAGAAAGCACTTAAGCCATAGGACGTCAAACGGTCGTTGCCCACAAAATGGCAAAAATCGAAACTGGATGCAAGCTGCAATGAAGCAGCACGCCTGCCTATGCCACGATGCTCGCTACACCACCTTTAAAAGAGACCTTTTGCAATGTGCTGAGGGTCCAACAGTCAGGCTGCGGACTTTTGGAGAAAGTACTTACAAGCCATAGGACGTCAAATGGTCGCTGCCCACAAAATGGCAAAAATCAAAACCGGATGCAGGCTGCAATGAAGCAGCACGCCTGCCTATGCCACAATGCTCACTACACCACCTTTAAAAGAGACCTCCTTTTGCAATGTGCTGAGGGTCATCCAATATGAAATACATTCCATTAAAGAAGCATTGCACCCGGGTCTGGAGGCGCCTTGCTGCACACAAAGATTTTCCAAACCGCCGGCGGTGCATTTTTCTTTTTTGTCTGGTCTGCCAGCCATTGTGGTCCATTGTGGTCCAGTAGGCTGATGGTGCTACGGTGCGGTGGGGACAATGGCCGTTTAAACCATCACGTTCTTAGGCCGTCAACAAGGTGGCTGAATCGGTGCACCCTGCAGGTCCACATGCATTTGCCTATGGATGCCTCCACAGAGGGGGCCTAAGACCCCCTGGGGACCTGGGGTACTGGTGGTTTAAGTGGGATGTTTCTTGTGTAGGAGTGCAAGCCCATGCCACTTTGTGGGGATTTGAAGTCTAAGGGGGGATTGGAAGTCTAAGAGACTAGCACACTCTAATTGACTACTGGCATATGTGGGATTTGATCACATACAAGTCCACAAAGGCCTAACCACACCTACAACATTGATACACCTCCTACACTCCACCATCTACTCTTATCTCGTCTCAGCAGGAAGTGAGCTGGCACACCAAGTAAAATGGCAATTGTTTAGCGCACGCCACAGACCTTGTACTGCTGTGTAACCAAGAGATCGCTGTGGCTGAGTATATGAGGCCTTCAGCAATTCACTAAGAGGTCCTGGCTCCCCTTTTTTACCACGCAAAGACCCAAGAATATGATAAAACAAAGCCCTTACAGTTTCTAGAACACGAAAGTAAGACCAAAACTTTGCATAATCCAAAGCAATGCATATTGCAACACAAACACGACTACTGCCCAAGGTCCTGCAACTCCCAAAAATGATCACTGAAGTAACCAAGATAACTCGTTCTTCTGTCCATTAACCTTTACTGTGCATAATCACGCCTATAATTCATTCCTTACGATTTGGCACCCAATCCAAAGACCACACCGCCCTTCACGCTTCATGACCCTTAGATACCATCCCAAGTCACACAAACAATTACACACCACGATCAAAGCTTGTAAAGTCCACGGCCATCGACCTCATTCCCCTTCAACAGCCACTCGACACCATCCAACCCCAACAAAGCCTTCCAGACGTCATATAGCCACAATTACTCACAACAATCCTCTGCTTACAACCCTAAAATGGCCCCTCCACATCAAGTCTTCTCTCCAATGAGTATTACCTGTCAATGCCACATTGTCCATCAGACATCCCATCGGGCGAAGACGCAAAGCAGGGGCAAAAGCCAGCTCAACCCTTAAAAGTTTAACAAAACTCTGGAAAGACTCTTAGCTCATCTCAAAACCTAGTGGACGAACCATGCCATCCATGCACATCAAGCTCTGCTCACCAACCCTAAAAGTTGAACAGAACTGTGGAAGACTCTTATAGCTCATCTCAAAACCTAGTGACCAAATCGAGGTCGTGTTACCTCGGCTTGAAAAAGAGACGTCTCTTCTCATGCCCTACTTTCCGTGGCTGTGCACCACTAAAACCCGGAGGAGCACAATTGACCCAGCTCAACGACCTAAGACTCGATAAAACCACACAAATCGTCTCAATGTATGCACTGAAAACTCCGCCTTTCTGACGAGTCAAATTGTCTCAATGTTCCCAACACTTGGATAATCACGAATGGACTCACTCGCAACAAGGCTGCAAATATCATGAAGGGACTCACAACAAGGCAGCAGCCAAGGATCCCCATTTTTCAGATGACGCCAGCCAGAACACGAAAGCCACCAAAATAGTAAATTCACCAATCTTATGTGTTTGTGCGACTATGCGCACAAATGTGACAGAGAGAGTGAGAGAGGAAAAAAAGCACAGCATCTACCATTTCAATCCTCGCTGAAAAACACTACCACCGCCAATCTCTCTATTAATAGAACTGGAATGGCATGTGGATGCTCTAAATCTCAAAAGGGTGCTTGGTGACAACAGCCCATGCAAGCTGACGCACGCAGAGGGTACAAACTTCTTTGAGACTAATCGGCCGGCACCAAGTCCAATACGTGAAATAAGTTCAAGTGCTCAAAACCACCAGTGCAAGCAATTCTCCTTCAAGGAATGCAAGTGTAAACACGCAGTCCACATTTCAACGTACCGGCTGGTGGGAAAATTCCCTTTTCGTAAAAAGCCCCCACAACGCGTCCAATAAGAAATTTCTATGGGAAAGAAAATTCGTTTTTTTTAGTGAAAAGCCCCCACACAAGCTGGTGGTTTAAACACAAGTACCTCCAAGCCTTCTTTTCATAGGCACGACTTCTCCCACCCCTAAAATATACTCCGACTGTCGCTGGTAAGCGCCTGAAGGGGAGGAACGCCCAAGTGTTCCCATGGCACCATGTTTTTCAACCAGCATATCATATGTTTGAAGGTAGCTGGGCAGCTTACTGATGCTTTCTCATGCTTTAACTATGCGAATGTAGATCTTGTCACAACATCTACATGCTGTTGCTCTATCCGCTACACTCAAGTGATATAACAAAAGTGGATTGTCAATCACATACACTACACTTTACATGATGATCCTCATCTGTGCGCAAAATGCTAAGCGGTATAACAACTGCCCTCAATCAAACCTCTCAACAATGTAATCCTATTTGCAATTTTGCACCTCCTACACGTAGCTGCCTTCCTACCCCTTCTCCTCCGTCCAAAAATTCATACCCCTATAATATAACACAACAATAACAACTGAGAAAAGCACCAGTGCGCGGCCCCAACTCGTAAATTTAAATTTCCGTTATAGCGTACAACAAGGAGGCCACACTTCAGATGTAAGTGTGGTCATGGCGACCGAAGGTAAAAAAGATAGTTTTGGCAGTTTAGGGTCTTAAGACCACTAAAAAAAAAAAAAAAAAAAAAAAGAAGATAGTTTTGGCAGTTTAGGGTCTTAAGACTACACACACACACACACACACAAAATAAAAAAATAAATAAAAAAAAGGGTCTGTCTTACAGGGGTGATTTACAAATTTCAAAGGTGAAGCGATCCAGTAAGTTGTCCCCATTTCAGCATCATCGTCCAGGCAAATGCAACTGCACGGACGAGCTCATAAAATCACAGCAATTCCCAACCTCGCATATACCTGCTGCTTAACCTTAAGACAATGC